AAAAAAAAAAAATCACAGATGTTTCTGTCACTATGGTGATTCATGTTGAGTTCAGAGTAAGTGAGTAGACAGTACTGGCTGGTCAAATGACTTTGGACATGTATTTAATAAATGGCAGCTTAATAAATGACATTATTAGTGTAATTAGTCTCTATTACTATGTATGTCTCAATTGCTATATTGTTAAGTGCATTCATAAAGTGATATTTGCAAGTGTATCAAAAAGGATATTCATTTATATGGAATATGCTGAATACATCTACCTTCATTTCTGACCATGGAAACTCTAGTTTCAGAAATATAAGGGGCTGCTAGAAACTTGAATGTAATCATCTTTTAGTGACATTACTGTAAAATATCTTTGTAAGTTTATTCATAAAAGTAGATGTACTTCTATATATACAAAGTGAAGGTAGACATACTGAGGGAATTACTCCCTTATGTACCTTAATGTTTGGTGTTGGTGCAAAAAGTGATTATATTTTACCTGTCTATAGTCAACATCTGGCACACACCATCTAAAGTAGTGATTTTGTCTTAGATCTTAACAGGCATGTTCATATCCAGTGTAAGCAATCCAACTAAACTTATTTATGTACTCATGAATTTTAAGAGGATTTATCAAGCTTTTAAATGGTAGACAAACTTTTCCAGTTGCCAAGAATACCAAAAAGCTGTCAAAAATGAGCTGTGAATAAAAACAGCCTTGTAATTGATCTTTGACCATTTCTGTGAATTCTTTACATATAAATGGTTCCCATAGCAGGTGATTATAGTTTCTCTCTCCTTGCTTAAGGTAGTACTCTTTTCTTTCCCCTCATTAATCCCCTTCCTGCATTACTATTGTTTACATGTGTTTTGTATTGCTATTGTTACTGTTTGCCTGCCTGCATTCCTATTATTTACTCTTTTCCCTCTTCTATACTTCTTCCATCTTTAGCAATCATTGACAGCAGTGAGGGGGAAAGCTGAGGAAGAGCCAGGTGAGAAACAGAGACAGTAAGATAAACAAGCTGTAGTGGACCCTGCATAACCTGCCTTTGTTGCTGTATGTGAGTCACTATGGAAGTTTTGAGACAGACAAAACTGTTACTGTGCACTATTTTACTTATAGGAAGCACAGTTGACAGTGTCCTTTCTGGTTCACCTGTTCAAGTTTCAACTTGGTTTGACTTATCAGTGTTGCTGGGAGGGCTTCATTTGTTTGTGTCTGTGTGTATTTTACATTTTTGATTTTTGTATCTCTCAAAACTTTCATGATGTCCCACATGTTAATTAACTCAGGAATTCAAATGGGAAGGCTATGTTATACCTATTCTTACTTAAATCTACCTCAGAATTCCAAGAGTCCCTAATTCTCCATTTTCCTAGGATCTGTGATTGCCCTCTGTACTGGTCTCAAATTTCAGCCTGATGTCCTTTTTCCATATCCCAATCTCATATTTTTATCTTCTTCAATGAGGAATTATGATCCAAAATGATTAGTAGACCTTAAGCTAATGGTGATAAATATTTAAGTAGGCATTGTCAATATTTACTTGGCTTACTTTTTTTCCCTATTTCTCATGATTCATATTCTATTTATGAATCATATTCATATTCTTTTATTTTATTAACAATTATTATTGTTATATTATTCTCATACTGCCATGTCTTATTCTATTGCTTTAATCCTTAGGGTGACTTTGCATATCTATGTGATATGATTTAGTTACTATTTAACTCTCCAAGGACTACTGTGTTAGGAGAGAGTAGGAGGGAACGGTGAATGAGAATACTCGAAGATAATATACCACATATAGCTACTTGGAAATACGTCATATCCCATAGAAAGTACCAGGATTCATAATTAAGACAGTATTTCAGAAATGGAATTTCAAAAACAAAAATTAAAAAAAAGAAATGGAATTTCAAAGGGTGTGTAGGCTACCCTTTTACTGTTTACTGTTCTATAGTGGAGACCCAAGCCAGGCATGTTTCAAACAGGAATATTCATACTTACTATTGAATAAAATTGAAATTTTCATTATCTTTTATTTGTATCTATGTGGTTTTGTGGTATAAAAACTTGTCAGGAATAGTTGGTATTTCATAGGTTTCACTGTAACAGTAAAAAGCCCTTTAGTCTAAAAAGTATAAAGTATAGTGTATTAGATGAATAATATCAGTGTCCATTTTTTGCATGTATACATTGAGTATACATGCAAGTGTGCTCTTGTTTTTCTTTTGTCAAGCTTTTGTGTTGCTAACTTCTTTTCCTATTACACTGAGAAATAATTCTGTTAATAAAAGTCATACTACATAGAACAGGGTAGTATTTTGAGTATAATAGCTATTTTGCAAATGTATTTTGCTTCCTGTTTTTTCTCTAGCCCTTTCATTGTTTCACTTTTACTGTAATTTCAGATCCTCATCTTTTCAGTCAAGTAAGCTGAAAAAATATTTTATATGACATACATGTTGTTACCATGACACAGTTTATGTACATATAGTTTATCCCCATTTAAGATATTTTCTTTTCTTTTTTTTAAAAGACAAGTCTCACTTTGTAGCCCTCAGGATGTGGTGGCATCACAGCTCACAGCAACCTCAAACTCTTGCGATTCTCTTGCCTCAGCCTCTCAAGTAGCTGGGACTACAGGCGCCTGCTACCAGGCCTCGCTATTTTTTTGTTGCAGTTGTTGTTTTACCAGGCCCAGGTGAACCTGCCAGCCTTGGTGTATGTGGCCGGCGCCCTAACCACTTAACTACCAGTGCCAAACCATAAGGTATTTTATTTTCTAAATGTGTTTTGCTTCCTGTTTTTTCTCTAGCCCTTTCATTGTTTCACTTTTAGTGTAATTTCAGATCCTTCTCATTTTAGTCAAATAACATGAAAAAATATTTTTATGCTACATACATGTTGCTACCATGACACAGTTTATGAAAATATAGTTTATCCTTATTTAAGGTATTTATTAAGATATGATGATCCTGACTGAGGTAAAACTAGGGTATACAGCACTTCCTCCATAGATTCATTATTTTTAATATTTTGTTTTCTAGATATTCTAACAATAAGTGTACAGAGATACTGATATGTATGCAAGTAAAGATTTAAAATTGCCTGTCACATAGTAGGTGTTTAGCAAATACTGATGAATGAAGTAAGTTTAATTTGGTTGATGATTGAAGGGAAGTTGTAGGAATTGTAATTAATAAGGCCAAGAAAGTCCCCTAGCACAGTTAAAATTGATAAGAGACCAAAGAACCAAATTCCATCATAGTTTTCTGTAAGGAGGAAGTATCGTTTGTGCAAGGGCTATTTGATGTAAGGTATTGTTTTAGGTTTGTTAAATTTATAATTCACTCTGCAAAAATCCTGCAAGGTAGACATTATCCTTAATTTATATATAAGGAAATTAAAATTCAAAGAAGGTGAGTATAAGTTCTGCAGGTCATAACTAGTGAATGGTCTATCCCACACTTTGGACATCAGAAGCTTATAATGTATAATTTTAATATATGTAGATTTTAGATTAATAAATAAAAGACAAAAAACTTACTTCTAAATGATTTTAAATCATTAGACATTTGAAAATCTGTGAGAGCCAGCTTACATTCTAAGCACGTTGCATAGCTTTTCTTTAGTTTATGACAGTTTTGTTTAAAGAAAATTCATCCACATATATTTTTTAATTGCAATAGCACTTTGTATAGCCAGCTTACAATTTCTTTTTCTGATAATTTGTAACAAGTCTATGTTCTAATTACCCATACATAATGTGAACAATTTCTGGATCCTGTTGCAATTATCCTTTTCTCTTAATGTTGATAAAGGAAAAAAATATTTACTTTAGCATATCAGGAAAAATAGTCATCATCATTTTCCATCCCTTTTTTTTTTTTATACCTGAGTCATTTTATAAATAGTCTTGAGAAATATAATAAAGGGATAGTGAAAAATCAGTTTATTAGAGATTGTAATAAAAATCTAAATGTGGTTCAGTGCCTGTAGCTCAGTGGCTAGGGCGCAAGCTACATACACCAGAGCTGGCAGGTTCAAATCCTGCCAAACAACCAAAAAAATAGCCAGGCATTGTGGCAGGCCCCTGTAGTCCCAGCTACTTGGGAGGGTGAGACAAGAGAATTGCTTAAGCCCAAGAGCTGGAGGTTGCTGTGAGCTAGGACACCATGGCACTCTACTGAGGGCAACATTGTCTCACAAAAAAAGAAAAATAATGATAACTAAAATATTAAAATAATTTTCTGGTTTCTACGTAAGAAAAGCATGACTATCATGTAGATATTGCTGTCCTATGCAATTCATAGTAGAACCATACTGTGTAAATCACAAGCTGAGAGAATTATCAAAGACCAAAGTAAAGTCCAGAGGATCAATGAGTAATATGTAATAGTATTTACTTTTGTCCTCAGGTGAAAAGATGCAGGAAATAAAGAAATACCTGTAGACTCCAGAGACAAAGACCTTCTATGAAAAGTTTTTTTCTAGGGAATATTGCTGGTTTTTATGGAATAAGAGCCCACACCTTTAAGACTAAGTTCAACAGGCTTTGGAGGACATTTACTGTAAGAAGGGCTGGGATTTTTGAAGGCTTGGTAAGCATTTTTTCTCTTCTTCTGTAGGGGGTATTTTGGAAAAATAGGGGGAAAAGTTAAATATATGCAATATGAGAGGGAGGGAGAGGTGAGGAAGGTAGCCCTGCTCCATGTCAGAGACAGAGAAAACCTTCAAATCTTAAAAAAAAGGGGGTATATGAATAGGGAGCAAGAGTAGAGGAAAGTGTGGAGAATATAGGAACTTGATTTATCTCTGTCCTTTGAAGGAAGAGGTGGGAGGCATAATGAACTCAAGTCAATTGACTCAATCCCAAGTATGGTTCATTAGTTGCTTCAGGGTTGGGTGAGTGGGTTAGCCCATCTAAAACTAATCTAGAATTAAAATTTTAGAAGAAGCTAAAGTCTACTTGGTTGCTATCCTCCCTCTGGATTTTGGAGAAGAGTCAGTGCTATCAGCAAACATCTGTTTAAACATATGGAATAGCTGCATTTTGGAGGGCAAAACAGTGTTACTTTAGGACTTTAGGGGTATGAAGCAAATTATGTATAAATTTATTTGCCTTTAATTTTTGAGTAATTTTCTACTCAAAATTATGGAGGAGTAAGCTCCTGTACATAATATAAACTCTAGAAAAACTACAAAAATTTATTACTTGAGGGCTTTGGAGAGTGAACTAAAAAAAAGGCAGCTTTTGGAGGGCACCAAAACTGGGAGGAAGTGGCACTCTGGGAGGCCAAGGCAGGAGGATCACTTGAGCTCAGATGTTAGAGACCAGCCTGAGCAAAAGTGAGACCTTTCTCTACTAAAAATAGAAAAATTAGGCAAGCATTTTGCCGAGTGCCTATAGGCCCAGCTACTCAGGAGGCTGAGGCAGGTCCTTTTGGTATTGATTTTCTAGTTTTCCTGAAGTGTGGTTTGAGAAGATACTTGATATGATTTTCATATTTTAAAAATTGATTTAAGACTTATTTTATGTCCTTACAGATGATCTAACTTAGAGAATATTCCTTGTGCTGATGAAAAAATATATATTCTGCAGTTGTTGGATCAAATGTTATGTAAAAGACTGTTAGGTCCATTTAGTCTAAATTCCAATTTAAGTCTAGTATTTCTTTGTCAATTTTCTCTTTCATTGTCCTGTCTGGTGCTGTGAATAGGGTCTTGAAGTCCCCCACTATTATTGTATTGTTGTTGGTCTCTTTCTTTAGGTCTAGTAATTTTTGTTTTATGAATCTGGGTGCTTGAGTGTAGACTGGTTATATGTTTAGGTTTGTTATATCCTTTTGTGGAATTGACCTATTTTTATTTATATAATAAGTTTCTTTGTCTTTTTTTAACTTTTACTTAAAGGCTGTTTTATGTGGTATAAGCATATTACTCCTGTTCACTTCTTGTGCCCATTTGCCTGGAATGTCTTTTCCACCCCTTTACCTTTAGTCTATAAGCATATTTACTGGTAAGGTGAGTTTTTTATAAGTAGCATATTGTTGGTACATTTTTTTTAATCCATTCTGTTTATATGGGACATTTAATCTATTTTACTCTTCCTCCTTTGTGTAATATTATATGAGACCTATGAGTTATATATGTTCATGTGTTTTTATGATGGTGAATATCAACCTTTCATTTCCATGTTTAGAACTCTTTTGAGCATTTCTTGGAGGGCAATTTTAGTGATGACGAATTCCTGCAGCATTTGATTGTCCAGGAAAAGCTTTATTGCTTATCCCGGAAGAAATCAGCTATAGGGTTAGTATTAGCATTTATACTTGATCTTTGTTAATGCAGAGATGTGCTCTGATGTCCCAGATGGTGTCTTGGGCTCTGAAGCACTGAAGAGCCTGGGTTCTGCCTTTTGTGTTTGAGCAGGTGGTAAAACTTGGTGGATATGGACCAGAGAAGCCTGCGCTCAGGACTCCCAGTGGTGGATGCAGCCACCAGGCCTGATAGAGCTGGTGGGGAAATCTTCAGGCATTGGCAAAATATTTAGATGATGTTCACTTATTGTTGCACTGAGATCTGCGTATAGGAGGGAGAGGTGGCCATTTCCATGAACTCATTAGGCAATAATGTGGTCTGCTTTCCTCTCATACCTCTATCCCAATGTTTGGGATATTCAGTTAGGTTAGACACTACAGTTTGTTTATAGGTTTCAGTGGAACCCAGAGCCTTAGATGACATCATCCCAGTAGCTCAACACTAAACCTCCATGGTAGTTGGCAGTGGCTATAGTTCAAAGTCTCTACCCATAATTCTAAACACAGCTCTTGGGCTGTCCTGCTCTATGCAACTGCAGTGCTGCAGCTGTATACAGAAAAGGTTTGGGAATCCCTTGCACAAGCACGGGCCTGGAGATCACATTGCCATTGGGGTTGTAGTCACCCTCACAGCCCCAGATAGGTTACCCTCCAGCAGACCTGCCTCAGCCTTCTGGGCAGCAATAGTTGCTGTGCCTGCAAAGAAGCGTGGGAAAGGAGTAGTCTCAACTCGGGAGCCTGGGTGAGCACAGAAGCTGTTTGGACAGTAGGAGGGGATTTTATTCCTTGCTTGCAGAGCTCCTCACAGAGTTTGTGCCTTTGCTGGAAGCAGAGTCACTTTTTGTAACCCCAAGCTTGAACTTCTAGTGCTCTGGAGAGCATGTGTTTTAGTTTCTTCTGACCCAGGGGTCACCTTTTTTAATGTGTTGCACTCTCTTTCTCCTAGGGGTAGCATTCACTGAGGCCTAGATTACTGGATGCCCTGTAGCATTTTGCATCCAGCTAGCACTATGCTACTGCAGTCCTCCAAGCAGGTACTAGGGAATGTCAGTGAGAGCTCTCAGAACATGGAGATACAAGAGCTGAGGTTCCCAGAACAGGATATAGTCCCCCATGGCTGATCTCTAACAACGGCTCCCTGCCATAGCCACTACAGTCTGAGGGTAGGGTAAGTGACCCAGCATGCGCTTGCAGCCCCAAATCACTGCCTACACTAGTGTCAGGGTTTGTGAGGGCAGAGGAACTTTTCCACAGTTCAGATCTTGGCCGTCTGCAGCAGGTATGAGGGCAGCCAAATCATTCCTACTTCCCTGTCCCTGGAATACTAAGTCCCTCCAAGCGTCTAGCCCATCTCAACTGAGTTGGCCTCTTGCTTCCTTTTTCTGTGCCTCAGATTTTTCTGCCCATGAGTTCTCTGTTGGGTTCTAGTATTTTCTCCTTTATATTTGATTTGAGATAGTAATTTTGGCTTTTCTTTCTAGAGAGAATTGGCATCTGATATTTCTAGTGAACAAATGTGCTTTATATTTTTGCCTTTATTCAAATGGATAATGATTTTTAGTATAGAGATATTTATAGCAATGCCATTCAAAATGTAGTCTGTGGACCAGTGCTTACCTATATGAGATAACTATAAAACTTCAGAATAAGCTATAAATTTATTTTCTCACAGTTTCTGAGTATCAAGGATCTGGGTACAGCTTAGCTACATGCCTCTCACTCATGAAGTTGCTGTTGTCTAGGAGGTTACTGTCTTAACTGAAGTTTTGGCCAGAGGAGAATCTACTTCCTTGCTCACTTACATGACCTCTTCACAGGGTTGCCTCAGATTGCAGCTGGCTTCCCCAGAATGAGTAATTCAAATGAAAATAAGAGCATCCAAGATAGAAGTCATGTTCTTTTATAACTCATTTTTGGATGTCACAGTCCACCACTCCTGTTTCTGCTGTTTTCCATTTGTTAGAAGCAGGTCACTTACTTAGACATTATGGTATTATTTTATTATATCTTTTTCTTGCTTTTCCTAGCAACAGTGAAGTATTACTGAAAGCAATTATTTTGGTGGTATTAGGAAAGGTATTTTTCATTTGTAATTCAAATTTTCTTAGGGTACTTTGTAGTATAGAAATAAATACTTTATAAGCTATAAGTTACTGTCAACATTTGAGGAATTTTTATAATGTTATACCATGTGTACATTTAATAACAGTATCAAAATTAGCCTTAAACAATTTAGTGGCCTTGGGCAAGAGTTTTTGTCAAAAATATTAATTTAGGATGTTTTGCAAATATGCTGATCCCATTATGATATAAAATTCTAATCTGCTCTGGGAGGACAAGGTGGGTAGATTGTCTGAGCTCATAAGTTCAAGACCAACCAGAGCTAGAGTGAGACCCCATTTCTAAAATAGCCAGGCGTTGTGGCGGGTACCTGTAGTCCCAAATACTTGAGAAGCTGAGGCAAGAGAATCACTTGAGCCCAAGAGTTTGAGGTTGCTGTGAGCTATGATAGCACGGCACTCTACCAGGACTCTGTCTCAAAAAAACTCTAATCTGATAAATTTAAGCTTTTGCCTTTTACAAAAGACATGCATATTTTGACCTTTTAGAAATTATGGTCACGTAGTTAGAACCAATAAGGGAAGAGATTGTTCTGTGGTTTTTAAGGCTTTATCATTGACATTATCCTAAAATTTAAATCAAAGTATTTTGGTTTACCTTAAATTAATGAATATAATATTAAAGTAACCATGTCTAGGCAAGGTATATAAATTTCAAAATTAATTAATTAATTTTAACATTAATTCAATTAATATTGAATTTGATGTCATGATGCTTAACTGTACAAATGCATTATCATAATGTATTTGGCATGAATTAGTTAAAAATCACATATATGACTGTCAAGACTAGGGTTTTTCAACCTTTTTTATCTCATAGCACACTTGAACCTATAGTAAAACTTCCGCAGCACACTTAAATTATGTTGATCAAAAAAAAGATTAGGCCCCCGAGGACTGTTTGACCTACACATCCCCCGTGTGGCTGTTGGCACTCACCTGCCACCACCAGGCACCTGAGCCGTGCATGCCAAGGACTGTTTGACCCATGCGTCCCCCTAGGCTGCCGTTTCTTGGCCGCAGCCCCCTGAGCACCCAAGCGGGGTGCCCAAGGACTATTTGATCCACAAGTCCCCACACAGCTGCCACGCTTCGCTGCCCCCAGGCACATGAATGCCAAGCACTGTTTGACCCACGTGGCTGCTGCCCCTGGGCACCTGA